ATATATATATATACACAAATGTATATATATATATATTTGTTACACTACATTTCAAAAGAACACTTAACAAAATATAAGCTTTCCAAAATCCTTACCCATTTTTCTCGGTGTATCATGTTTAGATTTTTTGGTTTCTTCTAATATCTGCTCACCATATTCTATGATGATCTGAAAATTTAAAGTAGAGAATTGAAAGTTGTAAAATACACACTCTTTAGATACTGCCATAATGTCATTTCACTATCCACATTCTTCCCCACAACATTTAAAGGTGAAATGTAAAAACGCTACATAAGAATATATATGTAATTTAGATGCAAACATTCATGTATATCTAGAAAAAGACCTGAAGGGAAATGCAAACTACCTGCATCACATCTGGGGAGGTGTCGTGGAGGAAGAAGAGGAAAGAAAGGAAGTTTTCATCTTTTCTTTTTTTATACATGTGTGCATTAATTTTTACAAGCATGGAAGGCACGTGATTGTGTTTAAAAGACACATTTTTTTCCCCATACACTTGTAAACTGTTCCCAGTCCGACACGGGTCGTACCTCTGGGGACAAGCACTTCTGGAGAAGCCGCGTGAAGATGCCTCGAGAGAGAAGCGTTGTAGCCGAAGGGCGCTGCGAGGGATTCTTCTTAAACACCTGCTTGACCAGGTGCTGAAGCTCACAGGAATAATGAGATGGCACTGGGCTCACACACCCCTGACATATTTTGAGGATAAGACTTTTCCAACTATTTGCCTGAAACTAAAAAAGGAAAACTGAACTGTAAAAGCAGATGCAAAGAAAGAGAGTGGATGTAAGAAAATGCCAGCTGCACGGAAGTCAGGTGAATTATTTTAATTGTATAGATGTGCCTGCTGCCTGGTCATCCTTCCTCCTAAGGGAGTCCTTGAGGTGCTGTCTTACCCTCTCACCACCACCAAAACCTTGCGGTGGCACGGGAAAAAGGTAAACATAAATGGGAAAAACGTCCCACCTAGAAAGTCTTACCATCAGTGCTGTTTCAGGTTTATCACCATCGCTGATGTTTTTGCAGGCATGCATTTTTAATATACTTTAAAAATCAATCTATGGCTTTTTAAAAAGTCAAATGACACTAACAGGCTTGTAAGTGTCGCATCCCTTTGCCTCAAGCCTCCCCAGAGAGCCCTGGGCCTGCTCCCCAGCAATATGCACCTCAGACTTCTCCAGGGAGAAGAGAAGGGACAAGGGAGGGAGGGAGGGAGGAAAGATAAATACAGAACTCAGAACCAAAAAATGGAAATTTCCTAGTAGCAGATGCTACAAAAGTGGATGGAGGCAAAGATGAGAGCAATGGAAACATGAGAACTGCTGTACCGGACTCATCCCAGGGACGCGCACCACCTGCTGGGATTTAGCACATTACAGAGGCCTCAGCACGAAAGGGGGCCGTTGCCGGTGTGCGCCCCACACTCACCGGGTGCCGGAGGGTGCAGAGCTCGTAGAGAACGCAGCCCAAGGACCAGATGTCACTGGAAGCATGAAGAAGCAAAGGTGACAGATGGCAAGAGGGTCATGAGCTAGCATGTGAAAATACACGCATTTTCCAACATAAAAAATGTAAATTACCTTTAATAAGAACAGATATTCTAAGTAATTCCTCACTATTAAAATATATGGCAGTTTTGGCCTAATACTTAGATCCCAACATCACATTCACAATAAAACTCTGTTCGCCAACCCCCGTGCCCCCAAGTCGGGGTGGTCCGGGTGTCACTTCAGCAGTGTTTGCTGCAAGAGGGAGTATCCATGGGCACAGATGACCACAGGTGGAAGGACTTCAGGAGTCGCCTGGCGCAGCCTCCACCCGGACCTTCTGTGCCACTGACCCCAGGCCTCCGAGCGCAGCAATGGTGGACAGCTCCTCGCCTCGCCCAGCCTGCGCCCCTGGGGGTGGCTCATAGATCACTTACCTTTTATTGTTATAAGGCATGTTTTCCCAAATTTCTGGGGGCACATAATATGGTGTTCCCACGTATGTACAAGCAAATGCCATGGGACTAAAACCAAAAAGAGGCAAAGACAACTTACAGAGCATTCCTGAATAATGGACGTTTTGATTACTGTCACTGCTATAGAATAGACATACATACTGGGAGAGAAGACGGGCAGATCCAAAATCTCCTAGTTTTATTTTTCCATTTTGGGTAAGGAAGATATTCTGCATTAAAAAAAAGAAGAGTTCAGATTATGTCTTCCATCATGCAAACATAAGGCGGACGTCTCCGGAGAAGCGTCTTTCACAGCCTGCTGATGACAGAGGCGCGGTAGGAACACTGACAGCTCAGTCCCCAGTAGAACACACAAAGACAGGATACTTTCCTGACAGCTACACGGTCCCCTGCTTGGGAATTCACGATGACTGCTTAAAAATCTAACAGGTGAGCGTCAGACTGTATCAGCAGACCCTGACCAATGGCCAGGGACCCTCTGTCAGAATAATTCCACATGCCAGGCCCAGGCCTCAATCATTTTCCAGCTGGGAACATATGGCTTAGTAGTCAGTCACCAAGAGAACTTGGAACATGTTAACACTACTGTGAAAGAGATTTAATGACTTCTTCTCAGGTGGTACTTTATTTGGCTGGTGTAAGTGTTAGGTTGACAAATATATCTAAACTAAATAAAATGTCCCAAAAGGAAATAGAATAACAGAGAAAAGAGTGAATGAAATAGTTTTGAGTTTTTTTAGGTCCACTTACCTTGGACTTGATATCTCTGTGTAACACACGTTTCTTGTGAATGTGATTTACTCCAAGGCACATTTGTGTAAACCAGTTCAGTATCTATAAGTAAAAAGGATGCAGATGTGCAGGAATGCAGTCACGGGCTCGCAGGAACCCAAGACTCCAAAGAATCGTCTTTGGGCCTCAGCTGACCTGAGTTTTATGTACTGTGAAAGCAGAACTCCTAGAAATTTCATAGTCCAACTAAGACACACTGTGGCCTGGAGACATTCGGGAAACCTGTGAATCCCACATGTCATTATCTTACATATGAACGCCCACTATAGTTTTCTTGTATTTAACCAAATAAAAGTATTTCTTGAATACATATAGGAAGGTAGAAATGAATATGCTACAACTTTTTGCAGTACAACCATTACATCAGATTTTCATTTACTTTTTCTTAAAATTCAAATATTAACATTAAAAGATTTCATTTTATCATCAACAGTCCTTTGAGATCAGCTCATAACCCTCCAGTTAACAGTACTCAGAATCTCCGGATTCCAAGAGGCTCTATAATTAAATGTCAAGCTGATGTTTTCCCTGTTTTTGCTACGGAGAGTCATCCATTTGTGCCCAAGGCTGACCTCCTATGGAACCCATATTTTTAATAGCACAACCTCTAAATGAAAAATATCTATGCCAATATGCTTTCATAATATGTTATTATACCCTAACTCAAATGCAGTCACATTAAAGTTGTTTACTTAAATATTTCCCTTAGTCAATTTGTTCCATGATATTTAGCATGCAATTTTCCACTAAAAGTCAGTAAGCACTAGACTTAAGGGAACACGCTGAACTTCAGAAGGAAAAAAGATTGGGACTAGGTACTCCCAAGACACAGAAATGCAGGTTCCATTCCTCTGGTGATTTGGTAACACACAGTAAATCCATCTGCCTCCTAAAATGTGGCCACAACAACACTCAAAACTGAAAATATCTAGGACAGAATATGGGGAGAAATACAATTCTGAGATTCTTCTAAACATGGAAGTTTTATTCCTTGATTCTTTGTAAACATGTCGATTTCATTTCCTATTCTAGCCATACCCTGATGGCACTAAGCAATTGCTCTGGTACAGAAACACATCATTTCTAACTAGCGCATCAGGAAATCATAGACACCAGTGCTTTTAAATGACACAGATTTTAGAAGAAAAGTTGCTTCTAAACCTTGAGGGAAACTATGTAAGTCAGTCTCTTACCGTATCTTTCCTTTCTGATGTTTAATCTTTTGCATTAGGTCCCCTCCATCACAATATTCCATCACAATATACAAATGTCCTTCAGCTAAAACAAGTGGAAGACGCTTTAGGAAGGCAGAGTGGCCATAATCATCCACAAATGCATGAATATGGGGAATTCACATTTACCTTCAAATGATTCTTTAAAAGCAACAATATTGGGGTGTTTCATTTTTGCCAGAAGAACAGCCTCCTTCCTAGAATTCTGTGTATAAGAGGAAGACTAGAAAAAGAGTTTAAGCATAAATATAATACCTCATTTTAAAATAGATGGCTTTCCAATAATTATAGCACAGTTTGTTAGACAGGCCAACACTACATGCAGTTTGATAGCACCGCACTTTGACCCAACTTAAGTTTTTAAATTCTAGAGAAAATATCTGGTGATTTTTCAATGATGGCTATATTTTGCATGCTTAAGATGACCCCTTATATCCTGACAAGTATAGAATGTAAACTAGCTCTAACATCAGCCGAAGCATAATGAGATTTGGAGAGCCAGTATGTCCTTATATAATCGTAGTATACCTAAGGTATATAGTATATATGCTTATATATATATATATGCACACACACACATATATATAAGGTATACATGTTTAATTTATAATAGTATATCCATAAAGAAAGACTAGGGAGTCCCTGTTTCACTGCCTTCATCACTTTACCAGTCCACTGGCCCAGATTAAAAAGAGTAGACTGATGTACTACCGCAGCAATAAAGGTAAAAGATGACTTGCAAAGTAAGTTTCCAAAACTGTTTATCCCCTAACTTACTCTAAGGATGAAATCCTGAATGGCTTACCTTACACCTAAGAAACTGCCTCTGATTAGCTACGAGCACGAAGGTTCATCAGCACCAAGAACTCATTAAAAACAACTCACAGGCCCACCCAAACCTGCTGCACCAGAAACCCCAGGGGAGGCTCAGCAGACGTTTCAAACAAGCCCTCGAGGCCACTCCGCTGCCCGCTGCAGAATCACCAAATGAGGCCAAGAGTGCAGTGGGAAAGAAGTACCCAGCACTTGGAGAACTGTATTAAAATGTATGTTTTTTAATTGATTAAAACATTATTAAACAGCCTCCAAGACAGATTCTCTGATGATTATGATACACGGGGGAGAAATCAGCAACTTCCTCACCTTCCAAGGGAACATCACCCATAAACTGACAGAATAGGTTTCCTCACACCAAAGCCTTCATTGTATTTCTACGTTCCTTTTTCATTAATATTGCACCTGAGTTGTTTTTGGCAAAGATTCCCTACACCCTTATGTATACAAAACTGGAAATTATTACAAATCATTCATGGTGAGATAAAAAGCAATCACCACCCAAACTCTATTTCTCTCCCTTCTTGGTAATGACAATATCCTAAAATTCACATGAAATATATCAAGAGCTTGTAATGCTAGTGAATAAACCCATTACATCTTCTGCAAGGAGCAATTCCATAATACATCTCAAGAACTTATTTTCCTATATAAATTACATGTGCATGTTCGACATGAGCTAATTGCTTTAGCAGTGACCTTGGGAAGCCTTATCTCCTTCATGGCAAACATCTGATCACTGCTTTCCTGCCGAACCAAGAGGGCTCTGCCGAAGGAGCCCTCCCCGATCACTCTCAGGACCGAGTACCCGTCCATGCTGGGGGCCGCACGCAGCCAGGCTCCACTCATGCAGTCACCGTGGGTTCTGCTAACCTGTACACAAAAACAGAAGCATATGAGAATTAAATTTATTTTCAAACGGCAGATTTAATTCAAAGTAGCTCTAATCATCGTAAGACAACAGCAACTCATTGCTTTTTTCATTCAACAGGTAGGCATTTAGCACCTGCACTGGGTTTTTTAATCCTGAACAAATCTCTCCTGGGCCCTGCCACTGCACATGCCCCAAAGCACACAGCACCACAGAACTCAGCCAACACAGGGTGGCAAGTCTTACAGAAAGAGTTGTGCCAGCATACAGCAGAAATGCCCAGAGGAGTCAGGAAGATGATAACCAAGCTGAACACTAACGGCTGAATGGAAGGTGGCTAGGAAAAGAGAAGGAAAAAGAGTGGTCAAGGCAGAGGGAACTGCACATTTACGGGCAAAAGAGATTGTGTTCAGTTCCAAGAATTGAAAAAGGACTGTAATAGGCCGGTAAGGCAGACAAGGCCTTGTCTGAAGGCTATTGTAAGCCAAGTTCAGGTGACTGGATTTTATCCTCCAGGCCATTAAAGGGCTGTCTCTGAAATGTTTTCACCAAGACAGCGTAT